GAGAGAGAGAGAGAGAGAGAGAGAGAGAAAGAAAGAAAGAAAGAGAGAGAGAAAGAAAGAGAGAGAGAGAGAAAGAAAGAAAGAAAGAGAGAGAGAGAGAGAGAGAGAGAGTACTTTATTTTATAGAATAAATGAATAAAAATTACATTTTAAACATGAGAATGTTTTTAGGAAAATTTTTCTTAACATAAAGAATATCAACCAGAATTGAAATGTAATTTTTAGCATCTAATAGACATCTCACTTAAAAAGACAATTTTATGAAATGGGTATTATTTTAACCATTAAATTAAATGTATTTTGAGTATTTCACTTTTTATGTCATATGAATTGGTGTCGAGAGAAAGACAATTGTTTCTCAACAATAGTGAAGCAAGTGATTGATATTTATTTAGAAATTATTCAATTCTCTGATGGCTTTTAAAATCAATTTCTTGTCATTTGGAAGAAATATGTGAAATATTTGAGAGAATAATCAACTATTTTGATGGAAATATAAACTTGGAATTTAGAAATACTTTCATACGATAGTAACTATCGGATAGTTTATTCATTATAAAGAAAGCTAACATTTTCTAAATTAGTATTATTATTGTCTTAATCGGAATGTCCCTTTTTAAAAGTTAGTAAAGATATTATAATTAGTATAGATGTATTCTATAATTATAGCTTAAAAAGAATACCGCAAAATAAAATTCCACTACAATCAGAATATTCTGTAAAATCCAATTATATCATTTACAAAACAGATATTCTTGTATATTTTTGATAATAAATACAATTAATTTATTAGTAATATTTTAATTGAACCTATTGCTGTTCACTGATTCATGTTTGTATGTGAATAATTTGAAATAAGTTTAAACTTTGTTTGTAATATTAACATCTACTGTATTTAATACTATAAGAATTTTTGTTTTTATACAATATATGCCATTTACAATATAAGTTATATGATGGATATAATTGGATTTTACAGAATATTCTGATTCTAGTGGAATTTTATTTTGCGATATTCTTTTTAAGCTATAATTATAGAATACATCTATACTAATTATAACATATTTACTAACTTTTAAAAAGGGACTTTCCGATTAACTTTATTTATGTTAATATTTTTCATAATGATTTTAGTAAAAATATTAAATTATAAGATAGAGTTTATTGGAAATAATAATTTATGATATAAATGTTTTATAAAAGATGGTTAAAATATTATTAGATTAATATGATAGTCAACTGGAGTACATTAGATATTGATTGCCAAGGTTGTTTATTAAATTTATTAAATGCTTAAATTCCTATCTTGAAAAGCTTACTTAAAAACATCTGTACATTGTAAGATGGTTTTAAATATAAAATATAATTTACATTTTATCATGCATTACTGTATAATCACATTATAATTTCTAAATATCTGACGCTAGAAAGCAAATTGAGGTTTATATATAGGATAATACATGATTATACTTTACTCAAATTCAATGAAAAATATTAAAATTCATATCCTATATATAAACCTCAATTTGCTTTCTAACGTCAGATATAAAAAAAAATTAGTATAAAACTTTTACTTTACATAATAAACACAATTTAAAATAGATTAAGATGAAAATCGCGAGCGTTTAGGCAATTATTTATCAATAAACGACAATCTTTACGCAGACTGTGTATAACATGTATGCAAACCTTTACAGCAATTATTAAGATTTTGCGCTAATATCTCACACTCAGACAGAATATGTCGACAATAACTGGCATTTTTAATATGGATTTATTCGATGCAATTGTGTTACTCCAGTAACGGACACATCGATTAGTATTTAATTTTTTGTATGCATTTTGACGGAAGACTATGGCAACAGTTTATATTGAATACCAGTTATCAACAGAAATATTTATAATAACAGATATTTAACTGACAAAATACATATCACTATTACCTAGAGAATCTTTGTTTTCATAATTAGGCTATTTGTTGATGAATAGTAGTTCCCATACATAAATGCACACTATTTAGTGCCATAAACTTATATTTTATGAAATAATTCTTACAAAGAATTAATTTTTGGTTCGTGGAGTCATTAATTACTATACGAGTGCTATGAAAGGTAAACCAGAATTTAGGGGAAAGGCTCCTCTCTGTCAACGGCTTTATAACGGATTAATTCGCGAGACTCTGTTCCCACTGATTGTCATGATTACGACCCCCAATATCATACTAGTGTTGGCCTATGTTATTGTCGCCAAGAATTGTAACTTAAGCCGAACTTTGTTTTCATTGAACTCATTGGAGTCCACAGTGACTGAGGCCTGGAAGTCAATCAAATGGTATAAAATATGTGTTTCTCATATATTCACACTTTATTACATAATTCACACCAAAACATTAGATAAAAATAGGAAAGCAATGAATGCGATAAAAGTACATTTATACTGTATTTGGTTATTTATAATAACAGATATTTAACTGACAAAATACATATCACTATTACCTAGAGAATCTTTGTTTTCATAATTAGGCTATTTGTTGATGAATAGTAGTTCCCATACATAAATGCACACTATTTAGTGCCATAAACTTATATTTTATGAAATAATTCTTACAAAGAATTCATTTTTGGTTCGTGGAGTCATTAATTACTATACAAGTGCTATGAAAGGTAAACCAGAATTTAGGGGAAAGGCTCCTCTCTGTCGACGGCTTTATAACGGATTAATTCGCGAGACTCTGTTCCCACTGATTGTCATGATTACGACCCCCAATATCATACTAGTGTTGGCCTACGTTATTGTCGCCAAGAATTGTAACTTAAGCCGAACTTTGCTTTCATTTAACTCATTGGAGTCCACAGTGACTGAGGCCTGGAAATCAATCAAATGGTATAAAATATGTGTTTCTCATATATTCACACTTTATTACATAATTCACACCAAAACATTAGATAAAAATAGGAAAGCAATGAATGCGATAAAAGTACATTTATACTGTATTTGGTACAATTATAGCCGGTACAGTTATGTGAGGAGTACATATAACAACGGTACATAAAAATCGGTGCATTTCTAAAAGGTACACGACTCTATAAAACTATTTTTGGCATTAATTTTGATATGATACTAGTATACCATGTACAGTGTTATAATACAGTTTACAGAATATTCAGTACAATATGTTATCATACAATGAGATGCCATAAAATGAAATACTTATAAAGTTAACTGTGAATTAGGTATGACTTGGAGTGTTGGTCAATAGTGTGTGGTCTCATACTATGGGGAATCATATCACTGCACTTTCCCGGCCGTAAATATCACGGTCCGCCCACACCTAATGGCTACAGACCAGAGGTAAGGCCAGTTCACTTAACTACTAATTAAGCGATTGATAAATAAAAATATTAATCCGATGTCATACTAATAAAAATAAAAACCTTTTAAGTACTGGAACTCAGGCTTCAAGTTCTATGTGATATCAATGCTAATCGCGATTCCTGTGCTTTGGAACTATTCTGTACTTCATTTGTATTACAAAATTCCGAATCTCATCGCTATTCTCATTGCATTCGGTGTCATATTCTGTGTTATTTTGTATCTCAAGGGTAATGAAAATAGATTTATTCATTATCTCTTCAATTTATGGCATAATCTGTTGAACTCATTTAACTACTGTATAATAGGACTCGTATTCCCTGATCCGGGCATTTGCGACATCACTAAGAATCTCATATTTGACTACTACTGGGGCGTCGAGTTATACCCACATTTGGGGCCATTTGTTAGCCTTAAAATACTCATTAACAGTCGATTCGGGCTATTCTTATGGCAATTATTAGCACTAACCGCTTGGAAAGCAAATTACGAGCTATACATCGCCAGCTATAACCGGGGACACATTAACTGGCCCTTAACCACAACCACATTATTGATTAGTATTTATTTAGCAAAGTTTTATTACTCGGAGGACTCGTACCTACACGTGAGTGAAAAAGTTAATTTATTTTGAAAGGCAAACACTGATTAATTAAAAATGCAAAATTAATTTCGCAGACCATTGATGCCTCGCACGACAGGTTTGGCTACTACTTGGCCTGGGGTTGCATAGCCTTTGTGCCCGCTTTCTACTCATTAAACTCTCTGTATTTGGTTAAACACTCGCCGATCGATCACTTCGGCTTCGTTTCCTCGCTAATTGTGTTGAGTCTGGGATTGCTATGCGTTTACCTCACGTATTGCACAGACAGGCAAAAAATGTTGGCCCGACAGACAAATGGCAAGTGCAATATATGGGGCAAACCGGCTACAGTTATCCGGTAAATAAAATATTCATACATTAAAATGTTCAAGAACTATTTAAAACTCATCAAACATATTATATTAATATTTAATTTGCAAATCCCAGCGCAACCTATACAGACAATTATGGCATCCAAAAGCGGACAGTCCTACTAGTGTCGGGCTTCTGGAGCGTGGGTCGTCACATGAACTATACGTTTGAGTTGTTGTTTGCGGTGGTGTTGTGTCTGCCGTCACTCGTCTACAGTCCCATCCCTTACCTGAGACTCATATTCGTGTCGATTCTGTTGATTCACAGAACATATAGAGACGATGAGAAGTGTTCACAAAAGTATGGCACACAATGGGACGAGTACTGCAAACTCGTGCCTTACAAAATGATACCTGGCTTATTTTGAAGCACTATTCTCGAAACAATAATAGCCAATGTGTTAATGAGTTTACAATTGTTAAATGTTAAGTGTTTTCATTTTTACATGAGATCTGATTTGAGGCACAAAATAGTTGTCTATTGAGTCGTGAGGACTAACCGCACAAATGGTTTCCTAAAATTGACGTTTCGCTCAACATTTTCTCAAATTATTTTCTCAATTCAATACTCTTTACAATAATTGTCAATAAAAACTAAATATAGACTCAAATGTGAAATTAGAGCCTAAAATATGTAATCATAAACTGTTTGTCAAATAATAAAAATGATTTAATGAATCAATTGTGAAGTTTTCGAGCCATTGCTATAAAATATGTATAATTAAAGACAATCTCTTTGGCGGATAAGTCGGTTGTCTTCAGTATATCCATGAGTTTGTCACTAATGTCTCGTGACATGGAGTCTGCGGTGTCTTTATCTGCACGTCTGAGGGCTTGATATGCAGACCACGACTCTACGAGACCAACCATGTCGTGGGCCACCACTGTTTGCGGACCAACTATATTGTCGATGTGGAGGAACTCATAATTTGAGGGGAACTTAACGTCCCGATAGTGATCGACCACTAACTGAATGGTGGCTTTCGGTGACTTATAGGGCGTGAGACGCGTGTCGTTATAACAGCTGTCCATCAGATCTATAAGACTGCGATCGGAGGGATGGGACGGGTCTATGGGGTCGGGCAGCCAATAGCCGATCACAGCCACCACCGCCCCGTCGACCAGCACTCGAGTGCACTCATCCACGAAGGAGTTCCACACGAAATACTGGGCCGACTCGAAGGCTGTCACCAGTTGGACACTATTGGACGCAATCGATGGCATACTCTCGGCGCCACATACCTGTCCGCACATACAAACATAGCATATTAGGAATGGTAGGCTATAACCAAAATGTGACAAGGTCCTATATTAACCACAAATGTGAACCAGAGTGTGAACTACTGGTGCCCCACCTCATAGCGAGTGTTGTCCTCGTGGTGACTGGCCTTTGCCTCTTGAATCTGAGCGGCACTCACATCGAAACCATAGCACCGGTGGAAGTGTTGTGACAACTGACTGGTTCCCTGTCCACTACCACAGCCCACATCCACAGGCTACAGGGTGAACAGAGCACCCTAGAAGAGCCGGTTCTTCAGTTCGCGAAATGCCTGGTGAACTCACCCTTTACATCCAGACTTAGCCCTCATATACCTCCGCACCTCCCCCCAGAGCTTGGATTCAGCACACATCGCCTATAATTATACGCTTTTCACTGCATTTGAGCCCAACTTTTGCCAAACTTTTGACAAGTTTTTCCAAATGAGAGCCACATTTGATTCACACCTTATTTACTACAGTATTGTACAGTATTTGTCATACATTTATCATAACAATCGTAAGTTCAACAAAACGTATTCATAAATAATGTCACGTTTTATGTAAAGTGATGCAACACTTCGAGTGGACTATGAAATGAAAAGTTTTTCAAAGTCTGTGCAGACCTTACCTCTAATTCTAATAGATTACTACTAATAGTCTTTCCCTGATTTCTGACAAATAATGTACTTCATTAGATTATGACGTGAGTGAAAACTATTGTCCTACAGAACACTATATAGCAACTTTAATCAGACGTTAAACAGACAACATGTGTTTCAGAACTATTATCTGTATTTCCTACTGATGGGTTGGCATACACACAGAATATTCTGTATACTCACAGTGATTATAATTTATTTTCAGACTATGTTTATAATTTACTATAGTTTTCATTAAAAAAATTATCTGTCATATGATACTAGGGATACAAATGTCTAAATTTAAATGACTTTTAAAAGTATAAAATTATTTTCAAAAGTAATTACAAACAAATTTGTATAATTAAACATTGATTTATTACTTGTTTATTTAATTGATCATACGTTAAATTTATTTTTAAATTATTCAACGTGTGAAATACAAACTAGTCTATCAGTGGATATCATGAGTTAAAAGTGAATTACAAATACAAAAATCAATTCACACACTAATCAAATCAATAATTATGGCAAACATCCACATAAAATCATAGACTTAGCCAGACTATTCATTTAATATTATCAATTATTACTCACTTTGCGTGCAATTGCTATGAAAT